TGGACGTACAATTTTGACGCGTAAAATTTCACTTTTAATCTTCAAGATTTTTTTCTCACATCTCCCCCAATGGAAATATGATCTCTGATTACTGATTTCGAAAGAGTATTAGTGGACCTACAATTTGATGCCAAGAACGGTGAGATTGGGTGAACAGTTCAGTCGCTATATCAATTTTAGTCCGGCATAAAAAAGTGGACGTTCAATTTTGTCCGACACTGTATTTATGACGAGCGTGTGACCACGGTTGAAAGTGGATTCAAACGACAAATCGTGCGACTCGGAGCTGGCAAAGCTTTATTCGAATTTTTTGAAGAAAGTTATGAATTTTTTTAAGAAAGCGAATTTTGCGGATTTTTTCAGATTCTACCGTAAGCGCAAACTTTTGTTAAACTTTTCAAAATTAGACTTCTTCAAAAATGCATCACTTTCTTTTAAAAAATCGTAGAGAACCGAATGAGATATCAAAATGTTGATATTGAGTTGAGTTATCGATTAAAAAATAAAGCCTCCAAGGAAAAAAATCACTGAAAGAGTTGTAAAATGAGCTTCTGGGTCAAAAATTGTGACCTTTGACCTTTTCGAAATTTTTCAAAGGCATGAACGGCATCAAATGACAATCTTTCTGGGGTACTAACTTGCAAAATTTCAAGCCCTTATCGAGGTCAATGTACGAGATAGAAAGAACAGTTTTTCTACGGTACCTCTGTGTAATTGCATCCACACAATGTGCTGCAAGTTAGCCGTGGCCGAGATGCAATTTAGCCGTAGCCGTGGCCGATGCAAGTTAGCCGTGGCCGTGGCCGAGCCGAACAATTTCAAATCACCCCAAAAATTTCACTTTACCCCCAAAATTTCGTTTTACCCCAAAATTTTCACTTTACCCCAAAAATTTCACTTTACCCCCAAAATTTCGTTTTACCCCAAAAATTTCACTTTACCCCAAAAATTTTATTTTACCCCAAAAATTTCACTTTACCCCTTAAATTTCATTTTACCCCAAAAATTTCACTTTACCCAAAAAATTTTACTTTACCCAAAAAATTTTACTTTACCCCAAAAATTTCACTTTACCCCAAAAATTTCACTTTACCCCAAAAATTTCACTTTACCCCAAAAATTTCACTTTACCCCAAAAAATTCACTTTACCCCAAAAATTTCACTTTACCCCAAAAATTTCACTTTACCCCAAAAAATTCACTTTACCCCAAAAAATTCACTCGACCCCAAAAATTTCACTCGACCCCAAAAATTTCATTTTACATCAAAAGAATTCTTTTTACCCCCAAAACTATGTTTTCACTTCATTCAAAACGTCATTTAACCCAAAAATTTCGAATAACGAGGACTTTTGACTGGCAAAGACGACACGCGGTTTTGATTGTACTTATACATGTATATAACTTCCATCGAATGGAGACAAAGTACCAGACTGTGTTAAGTGTATACTTCTATATAGATAGACTTGGTATTCAGAGGTACATGCAGTTAAAGTTTACTTCTTCATTTCCTACTTAAGTTTACGAACGAGGCCGGGAGACTCGCGCAGTTACCGACACTGGGTAGGATCATTTTACGCATACATACTCGGACCAGAATTGTCCGTACAAGAGTTTGAGCTTTGAACTCTGGCGCCAAAGATTCCAGAGGTGGGGTTTTCTCATTGCTGCTGATTGCCCACATTGTTCTTAATAACTTACCACAAAAGTTTTCAAAAACATGAAAAATTAGCCAAATGGCGAGCAAATTCATAAAGGCGTCTGGAATTTTTAGCTACATCTCAGTAAGAAAAAAATATGTGAGATTTTAAAATTCTGCTGAACTCTCTAGCAAACTTCCAGACGGTTAACGACATAGCTAAGCGTTATAAGACTACTGGTAATACTGATGACCGGAAGAGATCCGGTCGACCTCGATCAGTTCGGACTCCAGCCATGGTGAAAGCATGGAAAGCCCGAATTAGGCGAAATCCTCGTTTTGATCAGAACACGTTGGCTATGCAAGTGAATGTATCTGAATCATCCGTCAGCACCTCCAGTATGTATCTGAATCATCCGTCCGAGGGCACTAAGGGATGACCTTAGAGTTAGGACTATGCGATGGGGCACTTAGAATATGATAAGTAACAAGCATAGGAAAAATAGAGTCGATTGCAGCAAAGCGCGTCTTACTCGGTACGCAGGCAAAAGCTTTCGAGTTTCCTCCTCACGGATAAGAAGATATTGACCATTGGAGAAAATTTTTTTTAGAAATTGTCTTTAAAAAGATCAAATTCGGTACGGTGATACTAAATAGCTTCTTATGAAAGCATGTGAAATTAAAAGCCAGCAAAGTTGAGTCAGAGGGTAACCCATACCGCTTTCTAAAAGTTGCTATTTAAAAGTCGATAGCTGATATTCGGTACATTTGTCATATTTGTGTATTAAAATGAAAGTACAATATTATGACGACCGAATTACTATTTTGAACGACTCAGGAGGAGTGACCCCACTGGTTTTCGAAAACGGTCGAAAACTATGACCCTTTCGTAGATTTGTCATAATGTAGTCCGATATATTGTTAGTAGATGGCACAAAGATAATTTAGAAATATCAACCTGTTCTTGAGAAAGCTGAATTTGAATTTTTGAAAAAAAAATCGTAGCTAGACTTCTGTTACATACTGTATGCCATTTGCCCTTTAACTGAAATTTATGACCTTTTAACCTTGAAGTGTGTGACCTACAGTGGCCATCTTCGCACTCGTCCTGTACATTGATGTTAGGAGTTAGCGTTCAAAATTTCAAGTCTCTAAGTCTTTCCGTTCAAAAGATATCGGAGCTACGGACAGGGATACAACAGACGGAGGGATGGACATAACGATCTTATAAAGAGCTTTCACTCATTAATAATATCGGTTTGTACATAAAATTACGATACCTTCAGAAAATATAGCAATTGGCTCAATTAGTTTTCAAGTACCATGTAAAACCACTAGCGGAACTATAAATTTGGGGCCGGTAGGCACAGGCTTACCTGGGGCCCCTGTCCCTGACTGATTTGACAACTGTCAAGAAATTCTACAAATTTTGCAGTTGTTTGGGATGTATAAGCATGAATTAGTGGAAAGTAATTTTTCACAGCATGGTTAAACGACAAAGTTTAACCTTTAAATAAATTTAATTAGGATATCGTTTTAATAAAATCACAGATTCAAAAACTGGGGGTAGAGTAGAACTGGCAAGTTACACTGACAATGGAACCTTTTTTCAAGCTACACCAGGATTGACTAGCGAGTTATGTCAAAAAATAAAGCAAAAAATTAGGAGTCACGTGACACTTCTTTTTCCGTTGAATGACACATTTGAAGAAAAATATTGGAGGTCAAAGTTCACACGAGCGCCTTGGTTTTCTCCCCGTGGAGGAAAACGCAAGAGAAAATTTGCTCAAAAATTGAACTTAACCGCCAATATTTTTCTTCAAAGGGGCCATTCAACAGAAAGATAAGCGTCATGTGACTCCTAATTTTTGGCTTGATTTTTTGACATAACTCGCTAGTCGATCCTGGTGTAGCTTGAAAAAAGGTTCCATTCTTAGTTTCAATTTTTGCAGATGTTTAATTCAAACCGTGTGAGTTAAATAACGTAACTATCGTCATTTATAAATCAATTAACATGAACGTAGAGTCAATATCATAATGAAATGTGCGTCATTGTCAGGTTTTCATCAAATATGGCACAATTGGCTGTAGATTTAAAGATCTAAAATTATTAGTCAAGTTCATTGAAGCGAGCAAAGCCTGTAGAAATACATTAACAGATATTGTAGTGGTGAGGCGCATCTCAGAATTTTTACAATGGAAATTATAAACTAGAATTTGGCAGAATTTCGTAACAGAGTTCAAACCAGTTTCGATTTTTTGAACTACCCTGCCACAAGGCTGTTCAGGATATAACAAATTTTAAAAATTACGAGGGGTTTCGGGGCCCCTACTCGGTGGCCCTATGCCATGCCTACCCTGCCCCCCTAGTTTCGCTAGTGTGTAAAACTCCAAGTCATGGGGTAGTTGAGATATAGAAAAACTGATCCTACCCAGTGTCGGTAACTGCGCGAGCCTCCCGGCCTCATTCGTAAACTTAAGTAGGAAATGAAGAAGTGAACTTTAACTGCATGTACATCTGAATACCAAGTCTATCTATATAGAAGTATACACTTAACACAGTCTGGTACTTTGTCTCCATTCGATGGAAGTTATATACATGTGTAAGCACAATCAAAACCGCGTGTCGTCTTTGCCAGTCAAAAGTCCGCGTGATTCGAAATTTTTGGGTTAAATGACGTTTTGAATGAAGTGAAAACATAGTTTTGGGGGTAAAAAGAATTCTTTTGATGTAAAATGAAATTTTTGGGGTCGAGTGAAATTTTTGGGGTCGAGTGAATTTTTTGGGGTAAAGTGAATTTTTTGGGGTAAAGTGAATTTTTTGGGGTACAGTGAAATTTTTGGGTTAAAGTGAAATTTTTGGGGTAAAGTGAAATTTTTGGGGTAAAGTGAAATTTTTGGGGTAAAATAAAATTTTTGGGGTAAAGTGAAATTTTTGGGGAAAGTAAAATTTTTTGGGGAAAGTAAAATTTTTTGGGTAAAGTAAAATTTTTTGGGTAAAGTGAAATTTTTGGGGTAAAATGAAATTTTTGGGGTAAAGTGAAATTTTTGGGGTAAAATGAAATTTAAGGGGTAAAGTGAAATTTTTTGGGTAAAATGAAATTTTTGGGGTAAAGTGAAATTTTTGGGGTAAAATGAAATTTAAGGGGTAAAGTGAAATTTTTGGGGTAAAGTGAAATTTTTGGGGTAAAGTGAAATTTTTGGGGTAAAGTGAAATTTTTGGGGTAAAATGAAATTTAAGGGGTAAAGTGAAATTTTTGGGGTAAAGTGAAATTTTTGGGGTAAAATGAAATTTTTGGGGTAAAGTGAAATTTTTGGGGTGATTTGAAATTGTTCGGCTCGGCCACGGCCACGGCTAACTTGCATCTCGGCCACGGCTAACTTGCAGCACATATCCACACAAGGAGAGAAAAGCATAGAAAACCTCTAGCGGTAGACTCACTCGCAAACTTTTCCCATCATCTGCTCATTCCGGCCACATGTTTACAATCCGAAAGTTCCCAAACAAGTAAAAAAGTAAGTAATTTTTGACATTTAAATTTTAATCAAAATAAATAATTTACCCCGTTTAATGTTTTCCCTTCAAAAATATCGCATTTTAACTTCCATTTACTTACATTCTTGTCACCTTGTGATAAAAATATACGTAGAAAATCCCTAAAAAATTTGTAATTTCCGAATTTCCGAAAATGTATTTAATTCCAATCCACATAACTTATCACTGTTTCTACTCCCATAGCAAAATGGATATCGATATCGACCAGGAGGACGTCAAACCCGACTTGTTGGACGGAGGAATGGACGAAATTCGTAATAAAAATACTCCCCACGATACAAATTCCTCTCCCTACGCAGATTCGGACCAGATCGAAACAAACGATAAGACAACCCCCCGAAAATTGTCCCCTGATCGTCCCCCCACAGCAGAGTAAACAGAATATTGAATCAAATCGTTTAAATTTCGGCCTTATTGATTTTCCTTTGTCCTTTAAGGTTCAGCAATACGAGAGGGAGACATTGGGGGTGTGGATTTTGCAATATTACCTGTTCCTCGTATCACGGCCTGGTCACACACACCTTAAAAATCCACGGTATGACAAACTATGATACACATATTATATCGGATAAGATTAAGTTGCTTCATTTTTAATTCACTCATTTCTTGAGGAAATTTTCCTCCCTTAAGGATTTTTCCTTTTGAGAGAGGTTCATTTTTTTATTTGCAATCTCAGAGAAGTTGGTAAATATTTACATATTCACCCTACTTTAACCTGTAACGGAGACAATAGTCGTTTTATAAAAAATTGTTTAATTCGGGAGTAAGACAAAAGTCGTCCTGAAAAATCGTGGTCATGGCGCGGAAGGAAGACAATTGTCGTTTCTAGGAGGTCATTGATTTTCACCATTTTCTCTCCGCGACCGAAAAGTTGTTGCAATTTAGAGGGATTTCTCCTATGCCAACACAATGCTAAATTTGCAGATTTTCTTCCCAAAAATTTGGATATTTCCCTATACAACGCAATGTTAAATTTTTGATTTTTTCCGAGTTTTATTAAAACTCCAGAATTTCTCCTCCATGACCACAACATATTTGTAGCGTCCCCGAATCAATGCATTTTCTTGTTGTTAATCGTACACGTTAAAGGGTTGATGTTTACGTGAAACTAGTGTGCTACGATAACAGCGATAATAAATAAATATTTCCTAAAATTTCGTCAGGTTCCACCACACCAAAACTCCGGGTTCGGAAATATCCTCCCCGCAAGAATCGATTGAGGTATCTCCTGTACCGCGTGAAGTACCCGAATTATTACGACGACGAGGCACCACGTCCCCCAGAAGAAGACGGACCTCCTCCTCCCCCCACGGCTGCCCCAGAGGTAAAAAAATGTCCCACGTGTAACGAGCAATTTAAGTCTGAATTCCTCTACGATCGACACCGGGAGAAGCACGCACACGCAAACTGGACGTGTTTCCAGTGTTCCGCCACCTTTGTGGCGAAGGCGGCCCTCACCCAGCACGAAGAGAGGATGCACCCTGCTCCCCCCTCGGGGGAAATATTTACCTGTGAAATTTGTAAAGTTGGTCATTCCTCAAGGGACGAGTTGAAAACGCATCAGCGCCAGAGACACGGCGTCGGGGCGAATTCACTGATCATTTCGTCGATTAAGGGAGACGACGAGGACGATGGTCAACGTGGCGACGAGATTGACTCGGACGATGAGAGATTTCTGGACCAAGTGGAGAAAGAGGGTCAGGCTAAGGTCAAGGTGGAGATTGAGGTCAAACAAGAGGGGGGAGATGACATTAATGGTGACACGACCTCGTGGGGTTTCGATGTCAAGGTTGAATCGAATATTGATATTTCTAGATTTTATGACGAATAATGTTTACGTGATGAGATAAATAGGTATATTTTATTATTGGTGTGAATCAAAAATTTTAAAAATATTGAACCTCAAATTAAGATTGGTATGAATTCTCCCTTCCAAATGTTTGCATTTTTATAACTTGGCGTTTTATACTGGAATATTTTGTAGTTAAATATTTTGTACAAATTAGGCCTCCTTAACGAGACGATTTTTACGTTATTTTGAAATACAAAACCTTTCGTAATGTGAAGTTTTTATTTAGATTGATAAGATGGAGGTGACGAGCATGTAAAATAAGAGTCACTAGAGTTTCAAATAAATAAAAAAATAAGTCATAAAAGTCAAACTATTTTCATACTATTTTAAATGTTATAACCAGAGGGCGAATATGCATGCACGTAAATTCGAAAAAATATGTATGTAATATGTATGTGCTTGAAAACATGAAGATAAAAAATGGTTTTCAGCTTTAATTTTCTACTATATTTATGAAATATAATTTTCAGACAGACAGACGACAGACGGGCAGGAGGAAGTCAATAGCTCTCATGCAACGCTAAACGAGCTAATAATGTAACATTATGCACATTAATTATACTTTTTTAAAAAATAAATCCCACATAAGTACACATAATATGGATATGTTTTAACTAATTTATAAATAGGTCATTTTACAAAAATTAATTACGCAGAGAATTTTCGTCGACTCTAATTACATATCCATTATTTTAAAAATGTTGTCTGAGCCGGATGGTTTTCCAAAAAAATACATATTTATTGATTATACAGCATTATTTTTCTTTCAAATTTTTACAATGTCGATACAGCCTTTATTTAATTTAATTTAATTACCGTAAAACCTCTATTTATAGCCCTATTCTAATTATAGCCGGGTCTCGGGACCAAGATTTCAAAATTTTAGCCGGGTCTCTAATTATGGCCGGGTCTCAAATTATGGCTTCGCATAACGTCTCTGTATTCCCAGCCTCTTAACCTTAGAAAATCTACCGGTGTACTTATAGAATCGTTTGTTAATTGCTTAAACTGGAACATAATTACTCAAATTGTGTAAGCTGAACTTATATTGTTTCAAAATTTGAAATTTGAAATCCAAATTATAACCAAAGTAAAACTTAGCCGGGTCTCTATTTATAGCCGGTCTCCAATTATAGCCGGGTCTGTGACACTCAATTTTGGATTTTAGCCCCGGCTATAAATAGAGTATTTACGGTATATTGTTTCCCTGCTCAGTAGCAAATCATTCTGCCTCCATTGCAGTTGAACCTTCTGCCCAGAGGGTACCCGTGAGCCCGACAGCATTCCTTCCGTTCTGGTGGACTCCGGTTGCACACTTCGTTACACGCGTCCACAAATGTTCCTTGAGCCTCCACCGAGGAGTAGTGACAAGCTGGGGACAAAACATAGTTACAAATTAGTTAATTGACCTCTTAACGACGAAGTACACACGTTCGTTTTATTTTTCGGTTGACCACGAAATACACAAATGTGTGTACTGCAAAAATTTCAAAAGAAGAATATTTCATCGGTATTTTGTGGAAAAATTTGATGGTGAAAAGTGTTTTTTTTTCGATATTTTTCTCCTAAAATTGCTATCAGGTCTAATTATGAAATCAAAATCGTACCGAAGGGAAATTTTATTTAAAAATTAGTAGTCAAGAGAGGTTATTTAATCATTCCTTAAAACTAGTGATGTATGAATCCTGTTTATGATTTGACTTACCTCCCAAAACGAGGAAGACAAGGAATAAACCAAATTTCGGATTCATTTTGGTTCAAAATTCTGCACATACAGGTTACAGCCAACTTTGAATTGAATTGGTCTTAAAACATGGGAGGAAACGAATCCTTTTATACTTTTATTCATATATGTATGTACTTAAAGCAAATCGCTATAATCACACAAGTAGTTATGCATAATTCATTAGTTAACCAGTAATCAACCTAATCAATCTAATTGGTAGAAGTGACGTAAAATTTTTCATCGAAAACAATCTAAAGCTGCATCTGCACAATACTTACGTGGCGAATAATATTCCATAAATATTTATTAATCCCAAGAGCAAGAGGAATTATGTGCATGCATAGCATAACTTAGATAAATGCTGAAGAAATGCATTGGCAAACCTGTTTTTTTAAGTTTTATAGTGTAAAACAGATTGAAACTAATAGTACAAATGTAAATAACATTTAACGCTTGCAATAGGGTTGCCGCGGGTAGCAAAAATGCTACCCGTTACCCGACCCGTTACCCGCACGGGTACCCGTGCGGGTAGCCGTTACCCGCTACCCGTTATGAAAATTAAGTTAAAACCTAACCAACCTTCAAAATAAATTTGATTTAATTAATTATTTGCTCACTTGGGTTGATATGAACTTTGTTGGTAAATGGGCTAATTTGCTGCTAACTTTCCTTGTGAACTGATTTATGTCGAAAATTAACTAAAAACTGAACTACCCGTTACCCGTGCGGGTAGTTCTCGCTACCCGCAGATGACGGGTACCCGCAAGAATCGTGCGGGTATGCGGGTAACGGGTACCCGACCCGTTACCCGCGGCAACCCTAATTGCAAGGACGTGCCAAAAAATTACATGACATATTTTTGTGACTCCTTGATGAAAGGAATCAAATGGTCTCACATTTCTGAAAATAAACCTGTGCCCCCACACAGCTATTGTGAACTTAAGGGTCCCAAAAATTTCCAAATTAGCCCAACCCCTGCCAAATCTGACATTTCTTGAGAAATTTCGAACAACGTTTTAATTTCTCTTCGATTTTCAGTTGAGAGAGATATTTCCCATGATAAAATTGCCTTCCCGGAGTTTCTGTCACGTTTTCAAGGACGTTGGACTCGTCGTCAGTGGACATCTTTGTTGGTGAAATTTTGTTATAAAGCCTAGGATGTTTTGCGTTTACCATTTTTGCTTTACCTTCCGTATGTTTTGGTGCAGATTTTTTTGCATACGCTTTGACCCACAATTTGTGTGCCTTAATTTGACACTATTAATGTTTTACTTCTTGGCCGCATCAGGTGCGGACGTAAAGCAGAACCTTCCAAAAGTAAATGCAATTGTTTTTCACTGTTGAGGGGTCGATATGATAGTTTTCGCTCATGGTGCTTATTTGAAGTTGACATTTTCAGATTCTCCATATTTTTTTGTTCATGTTTTAATTTTCGCACGGCCAATCCTTTCTTGCTTGAAATGTAGTGTGAGGCCTTCTTCGAGCCTTTCTCAAACAAATTCTGGTACTTACATAAAACTAGTTTCGCGAGTTCGTCGCTTTAAAACGGTGTACGAAACTTATTTTTCATTGCAAACGTTTGAAATTTTGAACGTGCGTAGTTAGATACACTTAGCGTATTCCATAGAAATTTAGGATTTCTAAATTTATTTTTAGACCCCTCGCACACTAAAATACCTGGTGTCCGAGTTTCTAGGGCGAGCACCTTAGCCATTGTGAGTGGAATTGGTTGATGTGTGTATGTATGCATGTATTAATTTCATCAAGCTAGGTGTAGTATATGGCATTTTTTTTGGGGGGGGAGGGGTGGTAGGCAGGACACCCTGCGCGCCGACGACCTTTTACACCATGCTGAGATTTTCGAGGTGGGAAAGTATGAGTGTATGTATAGGTTACGTAAAGGTCCAGAAAAAAAGGCAAGGGGCAATTTTTTGTTTTTATTATGTTAAACAAGCCGGTACAACCTTTAGTTTTAAATTTGAGGTGGAATTCTTAACGTTAATGTTCAATTCGCCAATTCAGCTTTTTGACGAAATGAGTTTCGCTGAAAGTCCTCCGCTTTGGTGTTTTGCCGTTTGTAGAAAATGAGCAAAGTAAATATGAATAAGGTCCCTTTTCATGGAGACAGCCACATATGTCTAGCCTTTTGAGGGATTTACCCCTCGACACCCTTCGCAAGGGAAGTCATCCCGAGACGGGAATGAATGAATCATACCTACATGTACATACATACCGTAAAAACCAAGGCCTGACAGGAGCAGGTTAATTGAATGGGTGATCTAAAATTGCATGCGAACGAGCCACCATACCGACAGTCCTCAAACTAAACCACAACTAAACAGACTAAAATGACGATTTACTTCTTGTATGATGGCTCTCATGTTGGGGAAAAACAAGCAGATCGGAGTGGGGTCCATCCAACCACAATGTGTATCTAAGTTGGTTTATTGACCGTGGTCAGAAACATTAGTTAAGAATTACTTAAAAATTATTTCGAAAATATTTGTCATGAAGAAATAATGAGAATTTGAAGGTTATCGTAATTTGGTAACAAGTTTGGTAACATGCTACCTGTACCTGACGTTGAAACTGAGTCTCAACAACCTCACAGAATTTTATACATAAAATACATGCCTTGTATGTGTTGTATATAACATTCTAGTGATGGTGGTGATGAGTGATGACGTAATGTTTATGTTCTCAACCAAATCAAAACATCACGTGGCTTGCATTCTCGCTGAACAAAGAGCAATGGTACTCCCTCTGCTTATATTAATAAAACTCTATGGTAAAAACTCAATTAGTAGCCGGGGGCTACTATTTAAAAAATCGGTAGCTGGGACCCGGCTACTATTTGAGCAAGGCTACTATTTGGGCACGGTCACTATTTATAAAATTATGAAAAGATGCACCGCTACTATTAGCAAACAGCTATTGTAATTTTTTTCCAGAATCAAACTCAAATTAAAGTTTAATAACAGCACCAAATTCTCCCTTAGATTCGTACTAGATGACAATTCTGTAGGTTAGGCCTGCTGTTAATTTTAATAATTTCTCCAATGAGCCGAATTTCATGTTCAATTCGATTTTGTATACCTGAGATTAAATGGAATTGTGATTTAATTACTTAAATGAGCAGGCTAGGAGATATCTGGTTGCATCTATGTACATTAGAAATTGACGAACGTCTATATGTAATTCGAATAAGGCTACTATTTGAGCATCGGCTACTATTTGAGTTTTTACGGTGCATATCCACGCATTAACCTTTCCTATATATTTACTACACATCACACCATACATATGTGTGTACCATTTATGTATTAAAAACGGTCTATCCAACAGACTATGTAACCCTTGATTTTAAATACATCCTCCTTTACAAATATTTCCTTTATGGTATTGGCTCAGAAAGCAGTTTTTTAAGTTTTAATTTGCCACGAATCCTATCTAAGTTTGTGAAGAGATTATTAACTTGATTCCATTACGGATATTGTTATTATTTCCTAAATATCCGGTACATATGTATACAGGAAAAAGTGCTGGTGGGGGCGGCTGGGGTAGGTCTACGGGGTTCCCATGACTTGGGAACGATGGGAGGGGTTTCGTTTGTGTGGTGATACATGGCCCCTTTATAGGGTCACTTAGACCGAACCCTGATAGTTCATTGGTTAGTTTGTGGTCCATGGATGCTCCGCTTTAGCCCGAAACCCGTCGTGTCTCCACCAGCACGACGCCTACTCATTTGGATGTCATCATTTTTTCCCAATATGCAAATCGCCTATAATCTCTGTCTTGCATTGGTCGAACCTGGGTTTCACAAGTAGTCAGGGCCGAATGGTGAACTGGGCATCGTTCCCAGTTCAGGTAGAGATTTTCCAGACTGTTCACCATATTCTGGTTTTCCCTCTACTCCCCTGATTACTATAACAATTATTTGAATCTAAAAATTTGATTATACAAAAATGTATAACTATAAATGTAATTGTGACTTGCAAGAGATAATGGCTATTTATGCAATAAAGAACATACACATATATCTATGTACGTTGATGTATAGATTATTCAATTTTTTTACCCGTAAATACACCGAAAAGTATTGTGGAGCTGAATCTAGGTTGAGACAAAAGCAGATGCAACTATTTTTCAAATCAGACAAAATAGGACACTGGGTGCTTACACAAAAGTGCAGGATTAATAAGTATAGAAATTTTCAGTTTAATTCATAAAGCTTTTTCGATTTTATAACATTCCAAATTCAACCGTTTGCGATTGGGTGGTATGCCAGTTTTAACTCGCCCACCTTTTATATTAATCATCTACTTACTACGTCTCAAGTTACACCTTCGACGTATCGTAACTTTTGGGACACCCTTTACTTTTATCAAAACCCAGGCTTTCACCAAGGTCCACATTCTCCTAATCCATCGAAGCATCCTAGTCAACCAAATCCATGCCACTTTATACCCCTTAACCTCAAAAATTGTCCATTCACAAATTGCTCCAAGGATTAGTACCGCATACAACCAAAATATGGTTTGAATAGGTTGAATACCCTCCAATGAAATCTTATTAACGGCGCCCATCTTTTCCCTCTTTTTGATCATAGTGTGCACGAAATGTGTTATATTTTCTCTCTTTTTAGTTACCCGGCGAGTCCACGTCTCTAACAAAAGGACAATCCCGGCATCATTCAGCCTACGAAATACATCATATATGCCCGGCTTCCATTGTGATCCAATTGTCCATCCTGATTCATCTCTAAGAATTGATTCATTAGACTTAAAGAATCTGATCCATGGATAATATTTCTCAAAATACTTCATTTCCCATGCAATTTCTTAATCCTTACTAATCAATGCGGTCCTCCCACATTGCACTAGAGCATACTCTATGTCAACTGCGTCCCGAATAACTTTTTTCCCAGGGAATAGTCCTGAAATCGTAGGATGTTGAATGTGTAATGGATCAAGTAAGTCTAACAGATATAGCTTCTCTTTCAATGCCTCACTAATCTTTCCATAGATACTTATCTGTTTTAATGCATCCTTGACTGTGTTAAGATTACTTTGTCTACTGCCC